TGCCAGCACGCCACCAGCCTGGAGAGCAGGCTCTGTCGCCACGTGCTCGAGAACTACGCCTGCTCGCCTCGGCCGCCGCCCCTGGTCTGCGGGCTTTCGAAGTGCGACCCCGACAGGGTCTGCCACGGCGTGGACGTGGTGAGGTGCCGCAAGAACGCGCTCGCGAACGCCCCCTTCCCCCTGCCCGTCTTCTGTCCCCTCGACAACATCCGAGAGGCCGAGGAGGGGAAGCTGGCGGATCTGACCTTCGTCAGGAAGCGGGAGGACCGACGCTCGCCCTTGGCGGCGAGGCTGCCCTACGTGGGCCCCGGCTGGTACGGGAAGCCGGCCACTGCCTTCATGCTCCACACGGGGATAGCAGCCTGGGCCGACTTCGAGTGGTCCCTGGACGCCACGGCGCACGTCTCGCCGGACTGCCTGGCTCGGGCTCTGGAGATCATGGAGCGGGCCTGGCCCGAGGGCGAGGAGCACATGGCGAAGCTCTCCGTCAACGCCCTGATCGGGCTGTGGGCTCGCTCCAAGGACGTCTTCTACTCGATGAGAACCAGCAACCACGAGGTGGACGGGCGGGGATGTCAGTACCAGCAGGTCTTCGTCGACGACCAGGGCAGGAGCCACTACGACCACATCTACGCCACGGAGCTTTTCAGCAACCGCTCTTTGAGGCCGGCTCACGACTTCGTCATGGCCTCGGAGCACGTGGAGCTCGCCCGGATCCACCGGGCCCTGCGCGAGGTGCCGTCTCGCTATTTGGTGGCGGTGAAGACCGACTGTCTCGTGTACCAGAACCTGCCCAAAAAGTTCCTGAAGCAAGTGGAGGCGCTGATGAGGCGCCGGCACCGGGACTGCACGCCGAAGTATCGCTTCGAGGAGGTGAAGCGCCTGGAGGGGGAGTACGGCGAGCCGCGGATGGAGGCCGAGCCGCCGGCGCAGCAGGCGCCGTGGCGGCACGTGGCGGATCCCGTGGCCCACTGCCTGGAGGGCAAGAGCCTGCTCTTGTCAGGCATGCCGGGCACGGGGAAGACGCACCTGGCGAAGCAAATCGTGACGCAGCTCTCGGCGCTCGGCGAGGGGGTCACGCTCATCTCGAAGACGCACTGCTCCGTGCAGAATCTGGGCATGGGAGCGCAGACGGCGGACCACTGGGTGCGGCGCACGATCCGCGCCGGCCGCTGCGCCCTGGACTGGCTGGTCGTGGAAGAAGTCACGCAGCTCGACGTCGGGCTGTGGGCCGACATCGCCCAGCTCTCGACGAACCGCGACGTGAGGTTCCTGCTGCTGGGAGATTTCAGGCAGCTGCCCGCGGTGCAGGATGCCTTCGGCGGGGCGCCGGTGCTCCGGAACCTCAAGGAGACGCAGCTGCTCCACGACCTTGCCGGCGGCTGCGTGCACGAGCTCAGGGAGAACCAGAGGAGCGACGAGGGGATTTTTTCCTTCCTGGAGTGGTTGAAGGTGGACGAGGCGGAGCAGGTGGAGCTGTGGGGCGCCGTGCAGCGGGCCCGGCTCTTCCCGAGGCGCGGGTTGCCGGACACCTGCCTGGTGATCTCGCACGCGCACCGGATCGCCATCAACGACCGAGAAATGCAGGCTGGCGCCGTCGGACGCCGTGCTGCTGGAGCACCGCGGGTCGGGGCCGGCGGGGACCAACCAGCCGCAGACCATGCGCGTCTGGCCGGGGCTGAGGCTCGTGGGCGCCGGCGCGAAGGTGGCCAAGGGCCTCTTCGTCGAGGTCCGGGACATCGGGGAGCGGTTCGTGCGGATGACGGACAGAGCTTCTCGGGACCCGAGCTCCTCCGCTACACGCGGCTGTGCCACGCCATCACCTACGCGAGCTGCCAGGGGCTCACGCTCCGAGGGCGAGTGTGGCTCTGCGACGCCGACAACCCGCACTTTTCCGTGAAGCACCTGTACGTCGGGGCGTCGCGGGCCACGAGCGCGGAGCTGCTCTCCGTGTGCTGATTCTGGGCTCTTCGCCCATCCCGGTGATTGACCGGGATGCTCCGGAGCTGCAAAAAAAAGGGCAGCATTCCGTTCCCCGACACCCCCTGTGAGGGAGGCTGAGAGGGTATCCCGCCCAGGCACACAGGCCTGGCGGGGGTGGCGAGGCTTCGGAGGCGCCCCATTCCCTGGACGCCTCCCCGGTGCCTCACGGACCGGCGCGAGCTTCATCGGTGGCTGGCGGCTACTGATCACCCGCCAATTGAGCCTTGAACAGTCAGGCACCACCTCCACTCGCTGGGACCGCCGGGCCACAACCTAGAGCCTCTCCCCGCAAGGGTGGATCATCGGCCCTAGGCCCCGGCTCAGCGTGCCTCACTAGGATAGAGTAGAGTAGACGGCGGGTGCGCGCGGGGCGGGTGCGACGGCGCGAGGTGACGGATAGGTGAAAGATAGGTGAAAGATAGGTGAAAGATAGGTGAAAGATAGGTGAAAGATAGGTGAAAGATAGGTGACGGCGCGCGACGGCGGGTGCGCGGCGGGCGCGACGACGCGGTGCGAAAAGCAGGCTCTCTCATTGGGAGTATTCCCCACCCCACGCTCCGTTGCAGTTGAGAGGATCGTGATTCTAAAATTCTCCGTGTGCCGCGGAGGCCTTATCGGCTCTAAACTGCAACGGAGTGCAGTTTCGACCCTCAACGGAGCACTGCTCCTGGCGATTTCACGGCCCGAAAACTGCGAGGAGGAGGAAGTCGAAGAGAGTGCAGGCCTGTGGACTCGCGAGCCTTTTTTTTGTGAGCGAGTCCACAGGCCTGCACTCTCTTCGACTTCCGAGTACGAGCAGTTTTCGGGCCGTGAAATCGCCAGGAGCAGTGCTCCGTTGAGGGTCGAAACTGCACTCCGTTGCAGTTTAGAGCCGATAAGGCCTCCGCGGCACACGGAGAATTTTAGAATCACGATCCTCTCAACTGCAGCGGAGCGTGGGGTGGGGAATACTCCCAATGAGAGAGCTTGTGTGACGTAGTCAGTCAGTCGGCTTGCACCTCCTTTTACTAAACCTAGAAGTGTGCCTCAAGGCGCGTTTGGGTTTTAACGTGGTAGCGGAGCTCAAGGTTGCTCCTCAGAGCCGTGGACCCACGAGCCGAGCCGGCCGCGACCGTTCCCCATGCTTACTTTACTGAAAGGTTCTCAGGGGCTGATGTTCTGCCGGGTTCCCATCTACACAGGAAACAATGTGGTTTCTCACATGCCAGTTGTGTTTCGTGGATGAGGTGAGGTGATTGGTGACTCTGCTGTCCATGATGGGTAGCCGTGGCATTTCTGCTTGTTGGTGACCGTGGGAGACAAAGCCATTTGTGATTGGAAAGAAATGGTGTCGTGTCGTCAAGTCTGGTCCGGCCGCACTCACGGGTTCACTTCCGGGCGAGAATGAATGATGACTCGAAGACAGGACAGTGGAAAGCTGAGCACAGACGTAGTGAATTTGCATATGAAACTCTGAAACAATGTAACATAATGTAATGCAATTATTTCCAGATTTTTATCCTTTCCAGTTTTTGAAATATTAATTTGGAGTGTTTGGATTGGGAATTTGAAATATTGTTATTTGCAAGCATGTGCAGTGACGTCTCTCTCTCTCTCTCTCTCTCTCTCTCTCTCTCTCTCTCTCTCTCTCTCTCTGTCTTTCGCTTCCTGCGCTATGAAGCGTGCGAGGGCCCAGCGGCAGCTTGACAGTTCCATGTCTGTGCTGTGCCTGAGCAGAGTGCAGAGCTGCGTTGCGGTGTTTGGTATTTCAGGCCAAGCATGTGAGTTGTGAGAAACCGGAACAGCATGAACACAACTTTACAAAGCAAATCAGTGTGCCCATACATTATTTACAGCTGATTGGCATGGCAGCTTGGTAGCTTCAAGTTTCATAAACTCGAAGAGACTCGAACTTTACATCTTTCTTTGCAGTGCAGTGCGTGAGTGCGTGAACTCGGGCCCGTGAATTCGGGTGCTCTGAGCTCTGGCCTCCGAGTTTGAGGTTCGAGGGTGCCGCTTTGATTTTGAGGCTTCAGACTGTGGCAGCCTTGGTAGGCCTTCCCATGTTGGCCACGTCGAACGAACAGTCTTAGATCTAGTACCATGACACTGCAGCGTGCGATTGGCAAGAGAAGGTCGGCAGTCGACAGTTTGCAGTTCGCTGGCACAGCTGGACTCCGGACCATATCTCAGAGAAACTTACATGAACCATGCAAGCAATTTGTGGAGCTTGCTTTTCGATCAACAAAACGTGATTCGTGAGCTCAAGGAAGAGCTTCGTGCAGCAACAGCTTCGCGACAGAGACAGCTAACGGAGCTGACAGAGAACTTAGGACTCGTAGAGGATGCCTTGATGATTTCTGCTCCTTAAACTCTTGTCGTGCTGAATCTTGCTGGCACGAGTGGGAGTACCTGGGTTCAATAGGCCCTTCGACCTAATGACTTGCCTTTGTACGGACAGCATGCGCCGGGCAACACTGGAGCTTGGAGCACGAAGCCGTTTGTTGTGCTCCTCTCCGATCGCCTTGGAGTTTCACCGTGAGTTTCACCGTTTCACCGAGTCTGTACAGGAACACAGGCACTCAGGTGTCTGTTTTGCTACAGGCGCACAGCTGTAGTCCACTGCACTAGAACCTTGAGCAACAGGCATGGATACATGCAAGTGATACGTGTAAGAGACAGGCAGCAGGATGTGGAACATTCAGTGCTTCAACCATTGGGAAGGACCTTGGGAGTGGGAGGGGTTCTGCGGTCCTACGTCCGCAGCCCGAAGCTTCCCGGAGCACTGGTTTTTCAAGTTCCAGGATTCTCCACAAAGAATGTTTTTGACTGATCTTGGGATTGGGAGCATTCGCACAGAACTCTCGGCATGCCTGTCTGCAGCTTGAAAGAAAGCCTTGGCCCTTTCACAGGGCCACTCAGAACACAGCATAGCCTAGACGTCTTGGCAGTTCATGTAAGCTCAAGGTTAAACTACAGAATCAAGGTACTTACGGGACAAAGCCAGGCCACTGCCACAACCTCCTCACACACCCATTATGGCGTTCTGCTGCTGGCTCGCCACTCATGGCAAAGAGCAGAGGTGGGGAAATGTCCAGAAAGGTGGGCGGTACAAGACAGACTGGAATGACTGCTCTGTACATTGCCTGGATGCAGCAGAGGAAAGAGCCTTGCGATCAGATCCGTGGGCAGCCCACATTGAGAATGACCAAATTTTGGGTGTGATGCGTGTGGCGGCGGCCTTCAAATACAATGCTCTAGCAATGCTGAGTCAGTGCCAGCGAAAGCAGTACAACTTCTGGCAGTCTGTTTTCGGCACCGAATGCTTGCATGAGAGCTTGTATTTTTTCAATGTCGTAGACATCTGTGCATTTCAGAAGCCGGTCGAGCTACCTGTGACAGACCATCGCAAGTTGAAGTGCTTCTTTGGCCAGGTTGATTTGCACTCCCCCCAAGACCTTGTAGCACAACTCCGGAAGGATGTGGAAGGATCCGAGTTGCCAGAATGGGTGGATTCGAATTGTCATTTGGTTGTGCGGTTGCCAGCTGCCCATGCTTTTCTTATCTCCCGGAACCTATGGAACTCGTTCGGCTTGCCAGATCCCTCGCCCGAAAACCTTTTCTCGGTAGGAGTGAGGCTGCGGTCTAGGATGCTGGGGTGGTCACACATTGAAAACGTGGCAGGGCCTTTCACGGTTGCCCCTCAGGTTCAGGATTTTCAAGAGCCTCAGTTGTCTGCAGAGCTGGCTGGGCAAATCGCTCAGACGGTGCGTGTGTTGGCAGCTCGCTTGAACCCGGAGTCGAATGCAGAGGATGCTGCTCTGTATGAGGCTTGTTATCAAGGAGCCTACACACTTCAGCGTATCAGAGACGATTTGGAGTTGTCCAGTTTCAACAAGAAGGTAGTTCAAAGCGCGGGCCGTGTTTGTACAGCTCGTCTTCCGTTTCAAGCCAGCTACATGTTGCAGTGTATACTCATGACAAGCCACTTACGGGACTCCAGTGACCTGAAGGATGTTCTTCTCAGGGCAATTGACATTGTCATGCCAAAGAGCTTTGCTGAGGCGGTGCATTCAGCAT